CCGCCGTTCCACTCGGAGAGGATCGTCTTCTTGAACGTGCAGAGCTGGATGGGCGTTGCCGTTGTCAGCGTTGGACTAGGCGTCGGCGTCGGTGTCGGTGTTGGTGTTGGCGTCGGCGTTGGCGTCGGTGTCGGTGTTGGTGTTGGCGTCGGTGTTGGCGTCGGTGTCGGCGTCGGTGTCGGCGTCGGTGTCGGCGTCGGTGTTGGTGTCGGTGTCGGCGTCGGTGTTGGTGTCGGCGTTGGCGTAGGTGTCGGTGTCGTTGTAGGCGTTGGAGAGGGTGTGGGTGTTGCGGTGGGCGTCGGTGTCGGCGAGATGTAGACGGGGTTCACAGCCACGGGAAAGTTGTCCGTCTTCTTCTTGCCCTTGGCTGTGTAGTAGCCAAAATACGACTCAAACGGCTCGGGTTGCGTCTTGTCGTCGTCGCGCAGATCAAAGAACGTGTACCAAAACGCTTCGCCGCCGCCAGCGGATGGCTGCCACTGGACTAGACCGTTGTAATAGCCCATCGCATTCGCAATACTCGGCACCACGATCGGCGACACTGTCGTGAGGTTGTTGCCGGCGGTCGAGTAGCCCGTCTCCGTGAGCCGCAGCTTGGATGCCGGGTACAGCTTGAGCATTTCGTTCCAGAGAGCGTCGAGGATCGCGACCGGCTTGTTGACGTCGTACCCATTACTGAAGAACGGGTAGATGTTGACACCGACAATGTCCGAAGCGTTGGCAAGTGCCAGCATGTTGGCTCGAATGTCGGCGTTGAGCCACTCGGAGACCCGCTGGACGGTCCCGACCGGGACGTTGACGGTCCCGTTGGAGCGCCGAGCGACCTCGGACTTGATGTACTGCATCTGGCTCATGAGGTACGACGTATTGTAGGGACCATGCGGCACGACGTTTTCGTTGCCGACGAGAATCGCCTTGACGGTGGCCGGGTAGTTGACGGCACCCATGATCGCAGCCTCGACTTGGCTGCTGTACCAGTCTTCGGACGTCATGTACACACCGACATAGAGCGGGACGTTGTGGGCGGCAGCGATCGGCGTCACGTCGACGCCGTAGTACGACGAGTAGTACGTTCGCACGGCGTGGACGAGCGGCTGCATGAGTGCAAAGTCGTCGTGCATGCCGGCGCTGAGCGTGGTGTAGTTGAAGAGACTCGGGTCGTTGAGCGGGTACGCATCGAGGTG